GAGGTTGGAGTGAATGGGAGGACTGAGTGACTGTTGCTCTTTGAGGATGCATTTGACTTCATTATTGTTGCACTTCAGCTATCATATATCACTATCTTGAAATTTCCGAGAGATATTATCTTCTGTTTCAATTGAACTTGACGTGAATTAACTGTTTTGGTCTTAGTTGTCGAACTTGAAAGCATACCTACCTTCCTATGTTGAAATTATTGTAATTGAACTTTAACTGTGAAGCTCGTCACTACTTTCAGTCCTTTATTTAGTATTGTTACTTACTGAGTTGGTTGTAGTCACGCTACACCATGCACTTCGTGTGTAGATCCAGGTATTTTCGAACACGGTGGGTGTTGATTCCATCGCACATTTGATCTTCTGGAGATTTTAAGGTAGTTGCCCGGCGTTTCGCAGGCCTTGTCTCTCTTTCTCTATCTTTCGCTTATTGTATTTAGTTTCAGACTATCAAAGACAATATTTCCAGACTTGTGATGTGTAGATGCTCATGTACCATATGACACCCCGATAGTTTGGAACTTCTGCATTGAGTTTTGGATTTTTATCCTGTTTATGAGAACTTTTGTTATTTAAACCGTTTCAATTCATTTTCTGTTAGAAGTGTTGGAAATATTTTTTAATGTCGGCTTTCCTTGTATCACGTTAGGCGCCATCACGACAGGTTAGGATTTGGGATCGTGATACATTCCCTAAGTACTCATGAAATAAGGAGGTGTTCATGGCTGAAACGAATACAACCGTGAGAACCATAGATGGTTAAGAGTTGATTGTGCGACTTATATTGTCTAGGTATACAACAAAGCTCGAATGTTCAAAAATATCAAATATACCGATTGACCAAGTATATCCGATATAAGTTCACTACGGAAAGTTCAAAGGGAAACCTACTTATCCAGATGTAATTAATCCTTGCTTGTAAATTACACACTCGTCCGTGCATTCCTTTATTTTATAGCCATTCCCTATTCATGTGGGGGGGTTGTTGGGATTGGAAGTTGGTGAATGGAAAATGGAGGGAAGAAATGTGAAGGGAAAGTGAGTTGTTCCCTTATGCTTTAGAAAGAGCAATTGAGCCTCATTGGTAGTGGAAAGAAAAGGGATTGGTAGTGGAAAGAAAAGGGAATGTGCTTATATTAAGAAAGCACTTCTCTTGGTATTAAATGGGTTGGAAAGAAGATAAGCCTCGCGTCATCGTCGTCGTCGCTCGCTCGGCTCGGCTTCGGCTTCGGATTTGGTCAACGATTGATTGATTAATCTTTTTGGACAAAACTTCTTTCAATTATTTAATTAATTATCAAAAAATCAACCTGAAATAACCCAGGACCCGCGCGCGACGCGACCCAGTCCGTTTCTTTTTCAGATTATTTTAAATTCTTTTCCCAGAATATTTTAAACGTTCCCGCCTGTTCCAATAACCATGGATATTTCTGAAAAGGTTGCATATTTTCAGAAACAATACCAGAAAAAGGCTATAAATTCGCCTTGATCCCAGAATTTTTCTTTACGGAATTTTCTGAACTTCTTCTTCTTCTGTACAAATAAATTCCAGTGTGATTTACAGCCATTAAGTAGTTCGCAGTTCACCAGCATTTTAGGTACCGATACTCCAGTGAGTTAAGTCGTTCTATCCTGGGATGATAATATTCCAACACCTCGGGTACTTGAAGGGAATAATTTCCTTAAGGACACACTGTGCATTCAGTTGACTCGATTTCATTCCAAAATTTATTTTCAAATTCTGTTTTGATTATTTTGAGATTCTGCTTTACTTCTAATTTTCTGTTTCTATTTTGTGTTACAGAAAATTTACTGTTTCATAATATTGTAGTTAATACAAATTAATAACATAACTAATGGAGTTGGTTGATATTATTAAAATTTAAATTGCTAATGTAAATTATTTCATAGGGCATGCATATATAATATGACATATAAATATATGTATTAGCAATAAACAGACAAGAATATCTAATGAAAAAAAATTTCTTAAAATAGGTAATCCATACATAACAATTCACGTATTATTCCTCGGCTCATAATACTTAAAACACTGTTATTCATCGCCTAACGATCCCAACATTGTTATTCACTATATACATCCATCCACATATTTATAAATCATGTATAACTAATTCATATATGAATCAAAACCCTTCTTTCATGGCTTTTGCATAACTTTGTGTACGTGTACCCACGTGCATGGTCTCTTCGCATAAATTAAAGGATTATGGATTAATCGATAGGGATTAATCGATAAGCAAGGACTAATTAGTTTAGGGTTTACAGCCCTTAATTTTACTGAGCTGAGTTGGGGCTGGCCAGCAAGGTGTCATACATCATAATCACAATTAGATTTTAATTATAAATAATAAATCTTCCTGCGTCGAGTCGCATCACACAAAGTTGCCTCTTTGTTTCTTTTTATTATTATTTATTTGTTTGAAGAATATTCAGCAATAGACAATATGAAAGATTGAAGAGTCAAAGTTTGAAACTAAAATATTGATTGCAGTGTCCTTTCTGCCCCTTCAAAAAGAATGTGCTTTACATGTTAAAGTACCTTACCCGCGTGCATCAGTTTATAAATTTCTCCTTTTCCTTCACCAGCTTGATTTTTATAAGCCAAAAAAATAAATTATTTCAAAATAGGCTCGCCCAAGAATTTAGAAGGGTAAAATCTCAAAAACTTCAAGTTTATATTTAGACGCATATTAATTATTTCGATCTCAAATATTAGTTTTGGCAAATTGAATTCGTGTCAAAATAATTAACGTTTTAGAAAATAAGAAGTTATTATTAATTATTTTTCAGATTTATGCTCCAATTAATAGAGTATTAATTAAGTGAGACATTTAAAACTGTTATGAACCAATGCGTTGACCCAAACACTACTGTTCACAACTTATCCAGTTGGTGGAATCGACCAAATAACCAAACACGATAACATCTGTAATCTCTTGCAATTTTAAAATTATTTTCTGTTTAGCTTCAATTTTCTGCACTGTAATATCATTAGTACATTTTTTAAAATTCAAACGGATAAACAAATTGTTGTTTATTTATTTTGCATAATTAAACGTTGAATATCCAATTCGTAACATTGAATTCTTTTCCAACTTTTCCTTATTTAATATTGCTACTAGTATTTTCCTAGCTAGGTTGTCTACAATTGTCTCCGTATGATCTTTAAGACACGAGTTCAAGCCGTGAAAACATTCACTAATGTTTGTATAGGGGTGGACTGTCTACATCACACCCCTTAGGTACGGCTCTTCCACAGACCCCTAGTGAACACAGAATACTTTGTGCACCTGGTTGTCTTATATTCGTAGGTTGACTGCACTCAATTTAATAGCAGACTCAAAATTTACAAGTAGCGGGCAACTCTTTGAAGAAGACACTGTAAGAATATCATGATGAAAAATTCACTCATGCAACTTAATAACATTAAAAATTCAAACAATTAAGAACCACAATATATTTTTTACTTTGTATCTTTCTATTTTTCTCAATAAGCTATTGAGTTTTCTCAAAAGTTAAAGTTTCTGAATATTTCAGGGAAAATGAGCCCCACATGAATATCCCAATGTCAGAGAGTGCGATTTCTACGTGGAAAATTGATGGATAATAGAAGATACTTAAGTGATTCGTCTAACCCTAATGTTAATGAATACATTATAATGCTAATAAATAAATGCAGGTGTCGATGTTTTCTGCTGGCCAATTAAGGAATAATATTACATGTCAGAAATGATAACATTGTCTCTTTAGTTTGTCACCGACCAACATATATGACATTATAACAAAACACAAGGGATGACTAGATTGTGCTCTTTGTTTATGAATAGTGACCTCTCATTGTAATGAAGGGGTAGAGGAGGAGAAAAAGAACCTGCCATTACATTTTGTCTCTAAATTAAAAATAGCGTATTTCAAAGAAGAGTTTAATTTCTGCTCACCGATAAGATAAAAAATATTTATGCAATAAATTAAAGTCTTTAAAAGGTAATTGCATGTACCTCTTTGAATATTCAGACAATAAAAAAAACTAAAAAAAATAAGATTAAGACAGATCCCGTTATAAGTTCTATCCTTATATGTTATGATCGCCAAGTCATATTCATTAGTATTTATTGATGACGTAGAATAAATAGTGAATAATATGCTATACAAAGTAAATCACATTGATAATGTAAATAAATCATTACACTATCATTGTATATAACTTAAATACTAATGAATCCATTGAGGTGATGTAATAGTTTCTAAAGAGTTTATAGTATTGACTATGTATTCTTTATTTCTGTTGTGGTGGAGTGGTAAGTACTCCTCTATCCTTAACCAGAGGTCTTAGGTTCGAGTCCCTGGGTATTGAGTCGCCTTTGTTAGGGAGCGCTTTACCCCCCAATGTGGGACTTCCCGGTGCGAATTCGGATTTAGTCGGGTCCCAATGTGGGTATCGGACATCGGGTGAGAAACAAAAAAAAAAAACATAGAAGCGTCTGTACTACTAACTCTAGTTTCTAGATAGTTAAAATAAAAAAAAAAATAGCCGTAGTTTGTTCTTTGAATTTACCTTCTTTTGACTAATAAGATTGTGATGGTGGCAATGGAAAGTGAAATTTTTGTAGCTATATAACCAAAAATAAGACTCCCAAGTTGAGCCTCTATGTTGGTTTTGGGATCTAGCCAGCAGAACCAGTTTCAAACTTTTTAGCCATCTCTTCTTTAAGTGGATGTGAATTTGAATTTAACAAAGATAAAATAGGTAAATACGCTAGACGTTTACGCCAATAACAGTTTGTTTTCCAATGGTTTTCATTATTATGATCACATATATGGTACTCCTATTTTAGAAAAATGTGTAAAAAATCTTTATTGACGACAAATATAGGGAGACTATTAGAAAGAAAACTCAAATTGTCCCTATCTTCAAACCTAACTCATATTCTCGCATTGGAACCAACTCCAAAAGATTTGTTTTCCTGTGAACTCCATAATCGAAGAGAAAAGATCGAATAAGACGAGAGAATGCACTTCCACAATATCAAGTAATGAATATAGTTTGTTGATGTTATGGCCTAATTTACACCATATTCTGATAAGGCAAGCTTGTCTATCTGACTGGATTCACAATTGAATTGAAGCTATTAATATTACCATAGCCTTGACTCGATTGTTCACTTGTTGGAGACTTCTTAACAAGACACAGTTTCTTCCCCACCTACCATAAAAGATAAAAAGAAGGAATTAGAGAACTTCCATCTCACAAACAATCTCCTTCATTTACATGAGCTTGGAGGTGTCAATCTCTGTAAGTAAATCTTTCGATATTCTACATACTTGCTGTTGAATTTAATTTTCCGTTAGAAGAAACTAGAACTGCATCAGTGATCAAGGAACTTACTCTTCTTTGATCATCAATGGTCCTTGTAGCCAGCGGAGGACACAACATTTTATCAATGGTCCTTTGAGTTGAGGACACAACATTTTATCAAGAGCGAAAACGTTCAACATTACCCAACTATACCAGTTTCCTGTTTGTTTATATGCTGTTGGGAAAACGATTAATCATCCAGATTTCAGAAACTTAAGTAAGCTTCATCAAGCAACATGATCATTACCTAAATTCAATAGCAGTACTCTGCATCACCCTCTTCATGAATATTCCATTGGCTTGAGAATATTTTATGAAGCAAGAGTGCAAGGGTCGTCTATGCTTCTTTTCTTCTTGCATCCTTCCAAAAAAATGCGCCATATTAGAGCATTTGGGGGGAAAGGCATCCCAGTGATTAACTGCTCGGCTTCTCTCAGATAGCCATACCTAGCCAGCAAGTCGACTGCAATAAGATAGTGATCCATCTCTGGTTCTACCCCATATTTCTCTTTCATCTGCTCAAACAATTCCATCCCCTCTTTCACTAACCCAACGTGTCTACATGCTGAAAGAACGGCTATGAAAGCAACCTTATCAGGTCTAATCCCTGTCATATCCATCTCCTTGAATTTCACCGATGCTTCGTATGCATAACCGTGCAGTCCAAGGGCTGAAACAATGGCTGTCCATGAGATAACATTTCTAGTCGTCATTTCATTGAAGATCTTGATCGAACTTGCAAGACTCCCACATTTTCCATACATATCAATCATGATATTGCGGACAAATGTGTCACAACGCTTAAAATCAGTCTTTACAATGAGGCCATGAAGGGAGCTACCTAGACCGAGGTTACAAAGCTTGGTGCACACACTAAAGAGGCTAACATACGTGTAATTATCGGGAGAGATCCTAGCTATCCGCATGTGTCCAAGAAGTTCAAAAACTTCTTCGTAATCACCATTTCGAGAACAGGCTGCAATCAAAATATTCCAAGATATAGTATCCGGGTTTTCAAGGTCAGAAAACAACTCTTGAGTCTTATCAAATTGCCCACATCTGTTATAAATGTTTGCGATCATATTGGCCTCGACAGCAGGAAGTGGCATATCATAGGTAGTGACAAACCTTAGGGCATCATCAACTGAACTATTTTTTGCATATGAAGAAATGAGACTGCTAGAGACGTAAGCATTATCAATGTAACCCATTTTTATTGATAAGGAATGGAGCAGAAGCACCTCAAATAGTGCACATGATTTCACAGCAATAGAAAATGAAAACTCAGTAGGACGATAACCTGAGTGAATCATTTGTTGAAGCAGCAAAATAGCAGGAGAAGAGCTTTTACTCGAGTAACCCAGCATCAAGGTGTTCCAAGAAACCACGTTCTTCTCGGATATTTCATCAAAGCAAAAATGAGCATCATCCAATTTATCACATTTAACATAAAAGTCGAGTAAAGCACTACCGACATATACATCAGATTCAAACTTTCTCTGGATTACTTTCGCATGGATGGACTCCCCAAGCAATCGATACTGCTGGCTAGTGCAGCAGTTTAGGACACTCACATGTGTCATATCATTAGGCAAGACACCACTTGCACACATTTTCCTGAAAACAACCAGTGCTTTATCCGCTCTCTCACTCTTAGCAATTGCACCAACTATTGTATTCCACGATACAACATCCTTAACAGAAACATCCTCAAACATTTTCTCTGTCCTATCGATGCCAGAGCATTTTGCATACATGTTAATCAATGAATTACTCACTGATACTGCAAAAACTAATCCACTTTTCACTACCAACCCATGTACTTGTTCCCCTAATATTAAATCAAGTTCCCCAACAAAACCGGACAATAGGCCCAAGAAAGTGCTCTCAGAAGGAGCCAGTTCACTCCTTATTAACTTCCTGAAAATAACCACGGCTTCTTCAACACATTCATACTGTCCAAGCAAAGATATCATACAATTCAGAGTCACCAAGTTCTTTTTAGGCATTTCATCAAAAATCTGCATAGCTTCATCTAAGTATCCTTGCCTTCCAAGTAAACCCAATAATGCAGTCCCTGTGAAAGCATCAATGTGAAACAGGCCCAATTTTTCAGCCAAAGCATACAATTGAAATCCAAGAATAATATCCAAAGACTCACAACCCAAAAGCCCACCAAATGTAAACTGAGTTGGTTCATATCCACAACTCCTCATCTCAGAAAACAACCTCCAAGCCTCAAATAAATTTCCATTCCGACTATAAGCACTAATCATTGTATTGTAAGACACAACATTTCTCTTGGTCATATAATCAAACACTTCGTGTGCCGTGCGTATATCCCCGAACGCAGAATACTTAGACATAATACAATTATGGGCCAAAAAGGGTTGAGTTGGGTCTGGCCCCGTTGTGATAGTAAGTGCGTGAAGGGCCTTGGTTGCGTCGAGGGATTGAACCCCATGTGGTTCTTGAAGTAACTGAATGAGCCGTTGGTGTTTGATATTTTCTCCATGAGAAGGGTGGTGGGATAGAAGGTTTTCAGTTGAAGTTGAGAAGTGAAATTTCAGAGCATAAGAGAAATACTTTTGGATGTTAGAATGAATTGAAAACCTTAAGGACACTATAATGGCGTTCGACATGCAGTAACATCCAACGAGTAAAACTCTTTCGGCCTCCTCATTTATCGGTAACTATGACTCCGCAGTATAGGCTCAAATAAATTATACACACGCTTAACTATAACCTTTTTGGAATTGCTTAAATTTGCCACATATGTCGCATTTCCTACATGTAAAATAGGATGAGTCTTCGCTGCTGACTTAATTTAAAAGACTTAGATGAGCTTCTTTAATTCACAGTTGCATACTTGGCGCCTATCTAAATCTCTGTATATATGTTATTGTCAGCGTCCATATATGAGTTTCTTCTTGCCTTCTTATTTAGTATAGGAAATTAAACCATGTCCTAATTAAATTATGCACTTCTCTCCGCATCTCTTAAACTTTAAATAAGCTCTTCGCGCTAGCATCAATAAAGTAATGTATAAGGTGAAATAGGAAAGGACTTGTTGTCTCATCTATACCTAATTAATCATCTCTTTTATGATTAGCTAGCATTAACTATATGCTGATATTTCCTCAATATAATAATCAAGCTGACCCAAATATTCCTTTCTTATAATATATGTATGCTCAACCATGCATACCACTATTCACGTACTATAGAACTGCATAAGACATTAATTACGATAACATTAGACAATGTCTTCATACTACTACACAGAAAGAAAACAAGTTACAGTACAAGCATTACAACCAATGCGTACTCATCCATTACTAGTACGTCAAAGTTATTATTTCTCCTTCAATAACATCAGCTACTCATGAATAGTAACTAGAAATTTATGGAGTAATGGTGTTTGGGGTCAGGTCCTCCAGGAATATATCGCATTGGCTTGTATGTAGTTTCTTGGCTGCTATATCTGTCGTATCCTACCTTGGAATCGTGCTTGGGGTCAGGTCCTCCATGACTATATTGCACTGGCTTGGAATGTACCTCAAGGGCTTTCCTTCTCTTGAAAAGGGCAAGAAAAGGTTCAGTTAAGCTAATTTTCTGCTCCACAGGCCGAGCATCTCCCAAATTGTTTGGGACTAAGGCGTAACTGTTACTGTTGAGAGTACGAGCGTGTGAGCATTGCACCAGAATCAGCGTAATTATCAGACAAAGGTAGATTATCCCCTGAGACATTGTGCTTTAAGCTATCAGGGTGCAGTGTTTGAAGACATACGTCTCCACGATGTATATATAGTTGATTTCAGGTAGCTTTTCACGTTCAAACAAAATGGAATCAGGCTTATGTGAGCAGACAAAATTGCATTTCTCCTGTTGTGCTAATATTGTTAATCAATTGGGCACAATTAGTAACCTAGGACCTCAGAAAAGTAAAATTTCCTATAGCCAGTAGTTCTTGCTTCATACTACAGTAATTTAGTACTTTTAAGTTTTAAATCAGTGAGCATCTACTCATCACCTTTTGAAGGGTCAACCTCTATTTGTCCTTTCGCATAAGCACA